TGGTGCGGTCTGATACATGCTCCTCCTCCTTCCCGTCGCTCCTTTTTCCTATAGCCGTAGTCAGTCTCTTCTTCCATCCCTCCTCCAACATCCGTGAAGCTCCTTCCTTCCTTACCCCCCCCCCCCCCCCCCCCCCCCCCCCCCCCCCCCCCCCCCCCCGCTCTCTCCCCTCCGGGCCCATCTCAGCAGGACATAACGCACGCGTTGCGCGCACACACACGTACAGACTGCGCCACTGGCCTCCCCGAACAGTCCGAACAGGAGAGTCATCATCGTGAGTTCCATCTCTTTCAGAATCGTCACCTTCCTCCTGCCTGCACTGTTCGCCTACGGGCTATGCTGTGGGTGGCGCGCTCCGTCACGGTTTGAAACCGTCCCTGAGATCCATCATCGCTCACGTCATGTCCACTTCCCTGCACCCCTGCACCTCGCTCTCCCACCAATCTCCCCCGGTTGCCATGGCCACATTGCCGTGCATTGCCAAATATTCCGGCTGGCTATCATTTAATACAGCCTACATCATATGGGTCTCTTCTTAGTGGATGGGACTGCTCGTACACGATAGGATATGGAGCCGACCTGGACGAGTCCCCCCCCCCCCACTGTCTGAGCAGCATATTGCCATTGAGTGGAGCACCTTCTCCAAATCTTGCCTGCTATTGTTATTAATCTTTGCCTGCGCCACTTTAAAATATCCATCTCCCTCGATCTCTCCCTCTCCCTCTCCCTCGATCTCTCTCTCCCTCTCACTCACTCTCGTGAAGCTCGCAGACGTCTTCATCAGCTCCCTTTACAGCTACATCCTTCTTTGCTCGACCCGAGGTCACGATGAGCAATAGCCCGAAGCCACAGGTCGGCGCCGATGAGCGCACGCCTCTCGTCAATGGCAGCGGCTCGGGGACACCCGCCCAGAATGGCAACCATCACCACCACATCCATCCGGATCGGTCGCCAGCCTATACCTTCTTCCTCGACTCACACAAGACGCCTGGCCTCGAGAGTCCCAATGTCACCGTCAGGAGCCTCGCATACTCGTGGCATATATTCAAGGCCACCGTCCTGAGCAGTATGTTATAACCCTCCCGTCGGATCTTGCGTACCACTAAACGCGCGCGCATCTGCGGTCGCGACACGTGGGAAGATGAAGAGGGTTCAAGAGAACCCAGTAGAAGAGAAGCGAAGAGAGGGGGGGGGGAGAAGGAGAAAAGAAACGAAAAAAAAAAAAACCCAACTAACCGATCTCTTCTCACATAGATTATGTCAACTTCCTGCTCCCCGCCGTACCGATCGGCATCATGGCCGGCATGCTGGGCTGGGGCTCCACCGCCGTCTTCACCATCAACTTCCTGGCCATCATTCCCCTCGCCGCCGTCCTCTCCTTCGCGACCGAGGAGTTCTCCCTCAAGCTGGGTCAGACCATCGGCGGACTGCTCAACGCCACCTTTGGCAACGCCGTCGAGCTGATTGTCAGCATCGTCGCCCTCAAGGACGGCCAGATCGAAGTTGTCCAGTCGTCCATGCTCGGCTCCATCCTGTCCAACCTCTTGCTCGTCATGGGCATGTGCTTCCTCTTCGGCGGTCTGATCCACCGCGGCACCAGCGGAGAGGGATCCGAGCAGGTCTTCTCGTCCGCCGTCGCTCAGTCCACCTGCTCGCTCATGACTCTGTCGTCGGCTTCCCTCGTCATCCCCGCCGCCCTCTACGGCGTGCTCAACGCGAACGGAACCGAAGAGAAGACCAAGACGATCCTCGTCCTCTCCCGCGGCACCGCCATCATCCTGCTCGTCCTCTACGCCCTGTACCTCGTCTTCCAGCTGCGCACGCACAGCAACCTCTTCGATCCTGAGTCCCAGATCAACAAGGCCGGCGCCAACGCTGCCAATGCCAGCCAGTCCGAGGAGGAGGAGGAGGAGGAGGAGGAACCCGAGGAGCCCATCCTGGGCCCTGTGGCTGCCGTGGCTGTCCTGCTCGTCACGACGCTCCTCGTCTCCGTGTGCGCCGACTACCTGGTGGGCAGCATCGACGATATCGTCGAGTCGGCCGGCCTCAGCAAGGCCTTCATCGGCCTGATCCTCATCCCCATTGTCGGCAACGCCGCCGAGCACGTCACCGCCGTGGTCGGAGCCGTCCGGAACAAGATGGACCTGGCCATGGGCGTCGCCATCGGCTCCAGCATCCAGATCGCCCTCTTCATCACCCCCTTCCTCGTCATTGTCGGCTGGATTATCGGTTCGCCCATGTCGCTCCGCTTCGAGACGTTTGAGACGGTCGCCTTTGCCGTCTCGGTCCTCGTCGTCACCTACACGGTCCAGGATGGCAGGTCAAACTACCTCGAGGGTGCCATGCTTCTCGGTCTCTACATGATCATCGCCGTTGCCTTCTACGCCGTTCCCAACGGTGCTCTGGACAAGGATGGCGCGTAGAGAATCGGCTTCTCTTCTCCTTGTTACGATAGCACAACCCCAACCCCAACCCCCTTTTTCCTCCCCACTGTATTCCTTAATTTATCGGTCTATACCACTACTTCTCCAATACCTGGATCTCATCTCTTTTTTCCTCCTGTCCTCGAGAAGCCCTCAGAGACCTCTCTTCATCCGCGAGAGTTACAAGCTCTCCACGTTTGAATCTACAAGATCGTTGTGAAACGATTTCATCACACAAAAAATTCTTATGTCTTGACTGTATCTTCCCCTATTCATCTTTTTTTTTTTTTTTTTGCCATTCTCACACCTTGTACAATTACCCCTCACACACACACACACACACACACACACATACACACACATACACACACAAAGATGTGGGTATGCATCGTTTTGTATCTTCCCCCTTCCCTACAAGTATCATCATATGTCAGATGGGGAAAGAGGAAAGGGTGGGAGAATCAAAAGATGAGCAACACCTAAATAAGTCGTACGGTGCGATTTCTCATTAGTCTAGGATATATGTCGGATGGGCCCGACTAGGAAACAACCCACATTCTGCGCTGGGGGCGCAGTTGTCGGAAGAAGGACATGGCAGCAACCAACAAAAAAAAAATACAAAAACACAAAACAGGTAGTTGCGATTGTACCGAAATTAACGCATTCTTCTCTTCTTCGTTACCCGAGATCATAATTCGCCTGGCAGCTTTACCATGAAAGCGTTGAGCCCATTGCAGTATGTGCTCTCAAGGAAATCACTACTTTTTCTTCATGTCCGGATCACCATCTATCATTTATATCGAGGTCGCATGCATGCACGGTAAGCGGCTTCACAGCTTCAAGACCTGATGGAGCACGCATACATGACAGACAAGAGCAGCAATCACTTGCATCACGCCCACATCTCGACCGACGGCGGAAGGAAAAACAAGACACGCGATGAGGACAAAGACGAATGATTCCCATTCTCATTCCAAGCGAGTGTGGGGAGGGGAGTGAATATCATATGAAACAACAAGCTGAGATGCGAAGAATAAAGCTAAGGAGAATTTAGCAGGAAAAAAGAAGAAAGAAAAGGACTTGTAGAAGAAGACCCGGTAAAAAAACCCATCGGGAAAAAAAAAGAAGAAGAAAAGAAGAAAGACACACAACGGCCCATCTCCTCCTCATGAAAATGTCTCCTTGTGGAACCACACCTCGGAAGGGCCGTCGGTCTGACCCTTCATGCAGGCAACCTGAGCGGAAGCAGCAACGGCCCCGACATCGTGCACCATGGACGCAGGACCGCACACGACGATGCCGACGGTCTGACCCCGGGCGGAAGAGAGGATCTCGCGGCCCAGGGCGGTGAGGTCGGCACGACCGTGGAAGACGGAGGTGTCGACGCTGGACTGCAGACGGGCGTGGAAGTCGCCGATCCGGCTGAGCGCGGCGGACTTGGAGCCCATCTCGGGGTCGGGGTCGGGGTCGGGTTCGCTGCCGTCCGCGGAGGCGGCCGATGTGGTGGCGGGGCCGGGATCGGGCGGGCTGACCTGCGCGTCCGTGTGGTGGATGCGGATGGACAGGCCGGCGAGGTTCCGGGGGTCCTTCTCCTCCCCGAACATGTCCGACAGGGCGTCGGTGTACCACCTCGACAGGTCCGGGTCGCGGGCGGACACGACGAGGGTCATCCTGGGCTCGGCGGAGGCAACGATGCCGCCGCCGCCGTCTGCGCCGCGGCGGCGGCAGCGTCGACGAGCGGCGAGGAAGTCGCGGGCCAGGGCGAGGGTGAAGCCGACCCCGGCGCCGCCGCCGACGACGACGGTGTGGTCGAAGCCGTCGAACCAGCGGCCCTTGAGGCCGCCGTAGGGCCCGTCGAGCAGGACGGGCACGACAGCGCCGCCGGGCTTACCGGCGGCGAGGCGAGCGAGGCGGGCCAGCCTGGCCGTCATGCCGCCGCGGGGTCGGACGTAGAAGACCATGGTGCTGCCGGCGGAGCGGTCGTCCGCCGGCGGGAGGGAGCAGATGGTGAAGGGGTGCGAGGTGAGGGAGTGGAGGGGACCGGCGAAGCCGGGGAACCGGAGGAGCATGTGCTGCCCGGGGGACCAGTCGGTCGCGGCAGACGGGGGGGCGGTCACGCTGATGCGCATCATCCGGTCAGTCTCGAGCACGAGGCGGGCGCGCATGCCGACGCCGTACTGGAGGTAGACGCGCAGCTGGGAGTAGGCCCACGACAGGGAGTACAGGACCCCGGCGACGATGAAGTAGTCCCACGACGTCATGCGGAAGTCGCAGTGTAGGAAGAAGAAGATGACGAAGACGATGGCGGCGAAGAAGTGGGTTGCCTTGAAGAATTCGTAGAATCTCTCCCTATTCTCAGAGGGGGGGGATTATCAGTATATCGATACATGATGAAATAACAAGGGGGAAATCTCCCTCTTGAGAGGGGGGGCGAAACCTTTTCCTCTACCCGTTGGAGTGGGAAATAAGAAGAAGACATACCGTAGCCAGCGGATGGAAAAGAATGTCAAGAATGCTTGGGCGAGAAGGGCAATCACGCCAGTCACCCAGACGCCGCCGTCGTTCCAGCTGGCGACTATGGTACCCTCGTCGATGCCGTCGACGATGAAGGGAAAGGTATGGACCAGGGCCAGGACGAACATGGCCCAGGCGAGCCAGTTGTGCCACACGACCAGCTTCTCGTGGGATGTGCCGAGGACGGTGGCTATGGGGTTGGCCTTTGTTGCGAGGAGGCTGCAAAAACGTGCCGGTCAGCTTCTTGTTCTTCTTCTGCTCCCTTGTCATGAAGGGGGAGGGGGGAGTAATGGAAAAAAAGAAACTGATCAAGAGGTCTTAAAGAAGGAGGGAAGAAGAAGAAGAAGAAACATACATGATGAAAGGCATGCAACCTAGCGCCATCCATCCTGCTCGTGTGGCGATGGGAGGTGAGTGACCGTAGCTAGAGTCGGGCCAGTAGTATGGTTTGGGGGCGAGGGTCATTGCTAAGAGAGAGGGGAGAGAGAGGAGTGTTAGCACGTTTCTCCTGAACTCGTTTCCTCCTGAACCAAGATGGGATAGATTGGTTCGCTCTGGAGAGAGGCAGAGAGATCTCTGGTTTGGGGGGGGGGGGGGGGGGGGGGGGGGGCAAGAGATGAAGACAGAGATGATGACAGAGAGCAGCACGTACTGGTAAAGAAAACAAAGCCGACAGCCCCGAGGAGATATGTGCCCAGAGATTGGGAATTCCAACGGCCAAGCCTCCAGGACTTGTAAGAGGCCAGCCTGACGACGGAGACGACCCGTGTCCAGGACCGGGAGCGCGTCCACGACTCTGGGGACAGGACGGAGACGGCGTGGCCGAGGGAGAAGACGACGATGCAGGCCAGGATGAAGGCGACGGTGGGGAGGGCGTAGCGGTGATCGGCCTCGTACCAGAATACCCAGTAGCCCTTCTTGAAGGCGCACTGCTCGGGCGTCATGTCGCATGTTCCCGGATCTCTGTCCGAGTGCAGCATGACGGGTTGATCTAGCCATGGCACAGACATGGTTGCCGTGTTGACTCCCTCGATCCCCGTTCTCTCTCCTTTTCCTCTCTTTTCTTCTCTTTTCTTCTCTTCTTCTTCTTCTTCTCTCCTCTCTGTTCTCTCTCCCCCCCTTTTTTTCTTTTCCCCAACAGCCGGCGAGCAGATGAAGGCAAGTTTGGATATGTTTTGAAAGAAGAAGAAAGGGATGCTAGAAGAGGAGAAGAGGGAGAAGAAAGAAGAGCTGAGAGTGCAAAGAGGGGATGATGTTCTGAGGTGATACAAGATAAGAGAGAAACCCCCCATATGTTTGTTGTTCAGAGACAGGAAATATTGCAGTTGATATACGTTGATATACGCACACACACGCACGCACACACACGCGCGCACACACACACACACGTATATATATATATGTGTGTGTGTGTGTAGAGGGTCCAAGCCATTCACGACCAAGATATTACGAGAGATATCAAGCTGTGCCCTCTGATGGTACATCATTACCCTCCCCTCTTGCCCCGTTGCAGCGATGCGGTCTTCCGGTACTGATATTGCTTGCAGGGATGGTAATGATAGTAGTCGTGACGGTATCAAAACGTGCTCTCGGAAATAACGACAAGGTTATTATATCACCACTACTCCATACTTTTTTTATTTCTTCTTTTTCTCCTCTACTCGTATCGTAGCATCTTTATTGCTAGCTTCTAGGAAACAGACGAGTAAACCGTGTCTGAAGAAGAGGGAGAAGATAGCACAGTCCGTACTATTAGCAGAAAATACATGGTAATATCGTCTATCAGAGTCCCCTCCCCTCCCCCCCCCCGGCAACGGCAACGTTTGTGCCGAAGTGAGCAGAGAGCAAGTTTTTTTGAGAAAAAAATTGAAGAAAAAAAAGACTGGAAACTATCAACCCCAGACTTGCAGAAGAGCAGGTAAGAGCAAGTTTCTCGAGCCCTGATTAGTCGGATTGGCTTACATATAATAATTATAATAATTATATATGTATATATATGTGTATATATCTTGCTCAGACGCTGACAGCTCCATCAACACACGAGCACATTAAGTCGTGCATATATTACTATTACATCGTACTTTGACGGTGAGATCTGCAACTAGATCGATTGGTAAGAGATGATAAAACGTGCTCTCAATAGAGTATCTTCTCTTCTCTTCTTTTTTGAGAGAGAGAGGGGGGGGGGGGGGGGGAGGGGTTATCATATCAAAAAAAGAGGTTGATCCTACCTTGAAACTTGGTAATCTACCAGTAGGTACTAGCTGGTATTATACACCTGCCTGTATCCTCTTTTGGCTGACTTCATTCTTCTCAGCTCCCATCTACATACACACGCCTACACACACAAAAGATAAAAGAAGGAGAGATACAGAATTTCTTTTACAAACATTCTTTCTTTTTTCTGGAAAAAAAAATTTGAAAAAAAAAATGCCCCTATTCCCTCGTCACGATGACAGCATGAGCGGCATGGACATGGGCTCGTCCACCACGACAGCATCCGGCTCCATGGCCACGGGCATGTCAGACTCGACATCCTCCGCCATGTCATCAGACGACATGATGTCCATGTCCTCTATGACCATGACCTTCTTCACCTCGACCGCCACCGCCCTCTTCTCCGACAGCTGGACGCCCGAGGATGGAGGTCAGTACGCCGGGACGTGCATCTTCCTCATCTTCCTGGCCGTCTGTCTACGCATCCTCATCTCCTTACGGCCCATACTCGAGACCCGATTCTGGGCCGCACGCAGCAACGGCAGCGGTAACCGCGATGAGAAGATGGCTCACAGTGGCTCGGATGGAGAGTCGCATCGTCGACTGTCCTCCTCCTCCTCTGCCGCTGCTGCTGCTGCTGCAAGTCGTCATCCTAGGGCTTCTGTGGCTCTCGTCGGAAGAGACCTGGCCAGCCGCTGGTCCGGCTGGAGCGTGGGCACCGCTGCTAGCAGGGCCACGTACGAACTCGTCATTGCTGGTGTCGGATATCTTCTGTGCGTCTCTTTTCCCTCTCTCCCTCCCTCTCTCTCTCTCTCTCTCCCTCTCCCTTTTCCCTTCTCCCGCTTGGAAGGAGAGAAAACAGAGTGCCGGAGACGGACACTAACCTGCTTGTAGAATGCTGGCCATCATGACCATGAATGTGGGCTACTTCCTCTCTGTTCTCGGTGGCATCTGGCTAGGAACATTTGTCCTAGGAAACCTGTCTTACGACGATAGGTCGGACCACTGCTAAAGAGAAGAGAAGAAGAAGAGAAGAAGAAGAGCATCTGTATACATCTTGTAGCGCTGGTGTATACGCAATGTCTTTAGTCTCTTTGTTTGGCCTCTGGCCTCTGAGAGGGGGGGGGAAGGGGTTCTCTTCTTTATTTTTGTTCTTGTTTGGCCTAGGTTTGTTTTTCCCCTTTCTGGATATACATCACACACAAATCGTCCGACTTTGATTCCCTTTCGACAACAGACCGTCTTCTCATCATCTCTAGCACAGCGCGTCGTCACGTGTCTTGTGATATGATATATATATATCTTCCCTTGAACTCGTCTTCATTAATCATTCTCTCCCTCTTTCTTTGTTTTTGATTTTTATCTTTACCCCAAGTTCTAGCATGCTGCATCCTCTACATGGTTTGAGAAGATGATTAGAAAATAATGATGATGGATGAGATCAAATGCACACCTGCTACCCGTATCTTATGCCGTAGGCTTGGAAATGGGCGTGATGACGCCCTGCTTCATCAGCACCCGAGGCTTGGTGCTGTCCTGGAAGGACTGCTTGGTCTGCCACTCCGGGCCCATGGGCAGGCGGAGGGATCGCTCGTATTGCTGTCTCGACTCGAAAGGGTGGGGTAGCTGAGTTGCCAGGTAGCGGTCGTTCTGTATACGATGTCAGCCTTAGCCCTGTCGATGCATTCCTTGTGTTTTCCTGCCCGCCCCCCCGCCCCCCCTCTATCTCTGCATGGATGTCTGCGTATAGTATGTGGCGAGGATGGCTCAGTACTGACCTTTCTGTTGCGCTTCTCGTTGATCATGACCTTGTCGAGCTTGGCATCCTGGCGGTTCTTCTGCTTGATACCCTCGACCTTCTTGAGGAAGCGGCCCTGGTTGCGCTTCTTCTGCCTCTCGCTGATGCCGTCGCCCACCCACGACCCCCAACCGGGAATCGTCTCGTCGACGACCTTGTCGTCTTCGTCCTCGGCCATCAGCTGCTTCTCCTGGGCGAACTCGAGCTCCACGTCGTCGTGGGCGAACGCCCGGTCCAGCAGGCCCTGGTCGCGGATCGCCAGGGGGAGGTGGTTGTCCGCCTCGTCCTCGTCCTCGCCTTCGCCTTCGTCGTCGTTCGAGGTGCCGGTGGGCCTGCGCTTCTTGCTGCCGACGGCCACCTCTAGACCCGCTGCGGCGGTGAGATCCAGCTCTACCGTCTTGGAGGCAGAGGCGGCGTCCTTCTTCCGGCGACGGGACTCGCCGCCCGTGGACCAGGCGGCGCCGCCTCCGCTCGGAACCGGGCCGGTTGCTGATGGTGGCGGTGGTGCTTCTGCGCCGGCCCAGGCGTTGCCGGGAGTGGCGGCGGCGGCGGCAGCGGGGGTGATGGCGGAAGCCTTGCGTCCGTTGCTGACGTCCTTGCCGTGGCTGTCGTCGGAAGCCTTGTCGCTCGTCGAGGGGGCTCCGGCCTGGGTGGTGGCGGCGGCAGCCTTCGTCTTCCTGGCGGCTGCAGGCGGCGCACCGCCGGCTATGGCGGCGCCGGGGACGCCCGCACCGTACTGCCTGCGGCCGACCTCGCTGGCCTCGTCGTCTGAGCCGGCATCGTCGTCGAGGTTGTCCCCGTCAGCAGCGGCGATGCTGTCGCGCAGGTCCTCGAGCTCCTTCCTCCTGGCGGCCTCGGCCTTCCTCATGAAAGCCATGGCCATGACGCCCTTCGCGGGGGCCTCTTCCTCGTCCCTCCGCAGCTCTTCGTCTATCTGGCGTCGCAGCGTGGCGCCGCCACGCTCCCCGCTCTCGTCGTCGGAGCCGTCGCTCCCGGAGCTGGACGTTTCGTCATCCGAGTCGACGGCGGTCTTGCCCTCCTTGCGACGGCGGAGCTCCTCATCCCTGCGGGCCATCTCGTTGAGTCCGGAGCGGAAGTCGTCGTCCCAGACGGCGCGCTTGGCCTTGCCGCCCATCTTGGCCCACTTGCTGTCGCGGTGGCGCTGGCCGACGCGCTCGAGGGCCCTGCGGCGATCCTGAGCCTCGCGCTCCTCCTCAGAGTCGAGGGGCCCGTCGCCGTCCTCGCCGGCCTTGATGGCGTCGCGCTCGCTCTGCCTGCGGTGCACGCGGTGGTAGGCCTTGCTCTTGATCTTCTTGACGCGGGCGGCGCGCTTGGCCTCGCGGGCGGCCAGCTCGCGCTCGCGCCGGCGAAGGTTGACGGCCTCGCGCTGCGACAGCTCGTTGCCCTCGTCGTCGTACACCTTGGTCTTCTCCTTCTTGGGCTTGTCCATCGAGAGGCCGCTCTGGTCCATGATGGACAGGATGGCCGACTCGAGCTCGTTGTGCGACGACGCCGTCGCCGCCGTCAGCGGCTGGAGCTCGCTCATGTCCAGGCCGGCCTTGCCCGTCGTCTCCGGCAGCGGGAACGTGAGGTGCTCCGCCCGCCGGTTCTGCTTCACCGTCTCGGTCCACCGGTTCAGCGTCTCTGTCGTCTTCTCGTAGGCCGCGCTGCGGTCTAGGCGGCCCTGCTCGCGCCGTGCCAGCGGCACGTCCACCTTCCTCTTGCTCGCCTCCGGCCGCTTCTCCTCCTTCTTCAGCTGCTTGACCGCCTTCTTCATCGACGGGTCCACCCCCGACAGGCCCAGGTCGCCTAAGTCGATGGCGGCCAATGTCGAGCCCCGCTGCTCCTTCTGGTCGGCGTCGTCAACCTCGCCTGCGAAACTCGACACCATGCCGCGCAGGGCCTCGAGCTTGGCCGGGTCGACCTCGTCATCGTCATCGCCGTCGTCGGAGCTGTCCTCGTCGTCTTCGTCACCGGACTCGGATTCATCGGAGCCATCGCTGCCAGAGTCCTCCGACGACGATTCGCCCTCCCTATCGGGCTGCTCCTCCTCGGAAGATTCCTCCCACTGGTCCAGGGCCGTCGCCAGGTCGATGGCTTCCTCGCCGAGAGTCTCGCCCTGGTCGTCTTGCGAGTCGTCGTCCGAGTCGCTCTCCTGTATGTCATGTTATTTCCCGAACAGCCTACAGTAGAGGAAGAGGGCAGGTGGGGAGAGAGAGAGAGAGAGAGAGAGGGAGGGAGGGAGGGAGAGGGAGAGAGAGAAAGAAGAAAAAACTAACCTCGCCCTTGCTCTTCTTCTTCGACTTGGAGCCGCCAAAGGTGTATCCGTCAAACTTGCCTTCGTCGCTGTCTCCCAAGGCATCGTCACTATCAATCTCGGAGTCCTCATCGTCGTCCGCCAGGCCACCCATGCGCCACTCGTTGCCCTCGCTATCGCTGCCGTAATCGGCATTGTCGTCGGCGGAGGGGCCCTTGGCGCGTTTCCTCTGGGGTTGCTGCTGTTCGTAGTCGTCATCATCATGGTCACCCCCGTCTCCATCATCATCTCGACCATGTTTTCGTTCGATATCGGCATCCAGCTCTCTGAACCGCGGCGTCTTCTTGTCCCGCACGGGGAACATTTCCTGGGCGATGCCAAATGCGTTGAGGGCATTCTTCTGCGACCTGGCCTTGGAGCTCTTGCCGCTGCTCTTTTTTCTGGCCTTGGACGGGCCGGTCATCAGTGACCTCCCGTGAGATTGTCGTCCGGGCATGGCGCGGTAGGATCTGTGGTTTGTATGCTCGTAGTACGTATCATACAAATTGACAGTATTAAAGCATCATCACCAAAAAAAGAAAAAAAGCCAAAAAAAAAAAATCAGTGCGTCGATTTTTCTGCCGCTGTCCCCTCTAGAAACTTTTGGCGGTGAGAGGACGGTACGTATCTTTCTCCAACAGTTGCTGGTTATACTGGTATTATTACCGTATTATCGTACATATAATCTGTAACCTGTACAGATTACAGATTACAATTACGGATACAAGCTACCCGTGTAATTCTTACTAACACAAACTCGGCCTCCGGAGCACTCAGAGTTACGAGCCACCGGGTCAAACAGCCGTACTCGTACGTCTCACGAGTCCGACAGCAGGAGAAAAAAAAAAAAGGAAAGGGCAAAATTCCTGAAAGAGTAAATAAGCGGGGTTCGATGGACGCCCCTGGACCCTTGTTCCAGCCTATCAGTGCGCTCTTGATTCTCTTGCATTATTAACTGGTGATTTTCCCTCCTCTCTCTATTTTTCCCCTTCTCTTCTTCTCTTGCCGCCCCCCCCCCCCGGTATCGCCAGTCGATTCTACTCTATCCCGCATATTCGCCATGGCTTCCCTGGTACCCGGAATCAGGCGCGTAGCCCTCCAGGCCTCGTCCAGGTTATCGGGATGCAGCCAGTGCCTGCGACAGCCGGTTGCCCGCCAGGTTCTGGCCGCCACCTGGACCTCGCCCACGATCAACATGGTTCGATATTCGTCTTCGGCAACGACGACTGCAACGACCTCCCCGCTCGGCAAGCTAGCCCGGGATATATCATCGCGCCCCGAGCATGAACAGCAGAAGACTGGCTCAGCCGCCGGTGAGGGGGAGTCGACCAAGAAGTCGTCCTTCCCCGATACCAACCCCAAGGGTGTGGCGTACTGGCTTCTCGGCAGCGCCGCCAGCGTGTTTGGCATCGTCGTGTTTGGTGGTCTCACGCGTCTCACGGAATCAGGGTATGCACACAAGACACTCTCGCCCTGCACCGGGCAATGGGGAGGAAGACGAGGAAGAAGAGGAAAAGACCAAACGACTGACAAGAAAAACCCCTCTGCAGTCTGAGCATAACCGAGTGGAAGCCCGTGACCGGGTCTCGCCCTCCCATGACGGCCGAAGACTGGGAATCCGAGTTCGCAAAGTACCGGGCGTCGCCCGAGTTCAAGCTCCTGAACCCGTACATGACGCTGGACGAGTTCAAGAAGATTTACTTCATGGAGTGGACGCACCGTCTGTGGGGTCGGGTCATCGGCCTCTCCTTCGCCCTCCCCTCTCTGTACCTGGTGGCGCGGCGGCGGGTGACGCCCCTGATGGGCGCCAACCTGCTCGGCATCTCCGCCCTCATCGGCTTCCAGGGTTTCATAGGCTGGTGGATGGTCAAGTCCGGGCTGAAGGACGACCTGTTCGCCGAGGGCTCGCACCCGCGCGTGTCGCAGTACCGGCTGACGGCACACCTGGGCACCGCCTTCGTATGCTATTCGTGGATGCTCCTCTCGGGCCTGTCGATCCTGCGCACGCACCGCATGCTCCGCGCCGCCGACCCGCGCGCCGTGCTCGACGGCGTCCGGGCCCTGCGCGACCCCTCCCTCAGGACCTTCCGCCGCCTCTCCATCGGCCTCGTCGGCCTCGTCTTCACCACCGCCATGTCCGGCGGCCTCGTCGCCGGCCTCGACGCCGGCCTCATCTACAACGAGTTCCCCTACATGGGCACCGGCCTCACCCCGCCCTCGTCCGAGCTGTGGGACCGTTTCTACTCGCGCCGCGAAGACGGCTCCGACCTCTGGTGGCGCAACATGCTCGAGAACCCCACCACCGTCCAGCTCGACCACCGCATCCTCGCCATGACCACCTTCACCTCCATCCTGGCCCTCTTCTTCTACGCCCGTACGGGCCGCCTCGCCGCTGCCCTGCCCCGCGACGCCCGCCGCTCCACCACCGGTCTGGTCCACCTCGTCTGCCTGCAGGCCACCCTCGGTATCTCCACCCTCATCTACCTCGTGCCCATCCACCTAGCCGCCACCCACCAGGCTGGCAGCATCGCCGTGCTGACCGGTGCCCTGGTCCTCGCTCACAGGCTGCATGTCCCCGCCGCCACCGTCAGGCTGATCGAGCAGCGTCTCAAGCAGATACCTAGTGCTCGTCGCTGATCCGTCCCTCTTACTCCCGTCTCTTCATCTGCTTCCGCCACTTGGTCTCTGTCCTGCCTTGATTTCTTTTTCTTTCGCATATATATATGTATATATGTATACATGTATATGTATCGTGTATCATCATGTATTACCACTCGGGCCTTCCAGGGACAGCATCACATCATCATCAGGCTGTGTGTGTACTTGTAATATAGGATCGGCGTTATGTACTCAACTCAGACAGTATACAAATAGAGTTTCACGGGCGGATGGATTATAGCGCCCCTCGCCCTGATCAGAGACGACCCCATGTTTGAGACTGACAGCTTGCTCAAGAGCAATGCAAAGATCACGGCACATGTGCATTCATCTTGACAGGTCAACATCATGGTACATACTCCAGCATCAAGGCAACGTCTTCCCATCAGCGCCTACGTTGCCTTTTATTCTTCTTCTTCTTCAACCCATATACAACCCCCAACCCCCCCACCCTCTCCCTCCTCAGATATCCTCTCCTTCCTGCCAGGATACTGTTGCGAGCGTTATCCCTTTCAAGCCCATACACTGAGGCCGTGGAACGCTCTTTCTTCTCTATTTCCCCTCTTTTTCCTGGTCTATATCTTCTGAGCGCGTGTTGGATTCTGGTGTGGTGGAGGTATTACATCATGTCACGGGCAAGAGGTGTCTGTCAATGCGATTACTTCGACTAGATGACAAAAGGAGACAAGACACAAACAAGGTGGAGAGGGAAGAGAAAGTAACGGAACCCCCCAGCAAATAGAAGAAGCACCTCTTCTCGACCGCACCCATAAAGTGACTATTCTTGTATAAGAGAATCCTTCTTCTAAAATAGCAATAGATAAAAAGTAAGTAGAAGAGCAGTAAAAAAAAAAAATTGGGAAGAAAAAAGACGCTCCCGCAATGTTCTTTTTTATATGATATTGGAAAGAAAAATTCTATATTAACCGCTGTACAGAAAAAGAAAAAGGGAGAAAAACATGAATTTTTTTTAAAATATGAGAGAAGAATGGGGAAGAATAGATGAGAACCCAATATGCCGAGAGGTGGGAAATAAATGTCTTTTTTTTTTTGGTTACATGTCCTATTCCATGTACATGGCATCGCTGCGCATGCCTTGGATAGCAGCCATGCCCATGTCACCGGCGTGCATACCGTTGGTCTGTATGGCCATGTTCATGTGAGGCATGGATCTGCTCATGTTCATGGCTGTCCTGCCTACGGGGCTACCGGTGCCGTTTTGCATCATGAAGCGCTGGTCCGGTATGCCTCTTTGCTGCTGCTGCTGCTGCTGCTGCTGTTGCTGCTGCTGTTGCATGGGCGCTCGTGTTCGGGGTACTTCGAGCGTAGCCTGCTGCTGCTGTTGCGGCTGCAACGAAGGGGCTACGGGCTGCTGCTTCTGGGGAGATTGCTGCGGCGGCTGCTGCTGCTGCGGCTGCTGCTGTTGCTGCTGCTGCTGTTGTTGTTGTTGGTGTTGTTGTTGTTGTTGTTGTTGTTGTTGTTGGTGATGGTTCATCATTGCGAAGCTGTCGTCGTCCTCCATCTCAGCGTCGGCGTCCTGGTCACTCGTCGTCTCGTCGACCGATGGCGGCGCCGTCGTGTTGGCCGACGTGTTGTGCTCGCTCGTGGCCCCGCTGACGCTCGCCGTGGACTGCCTCTTGACCGGCTGCGTCTGTTGCTGCGGCGTATTCGACTGGCTCCGGCTGATCTGGCCGTTGGTCGCGGTGCCGGCGGCAGCACTGGTGGCGGCGCCGGTGCTGGCGGCGGCGGCTGCGGTGACCGCTGTGGCGGCCGTACCGTTGCCATCGACGCTTCCCGATGTCTGCTGGTCCAGCGGTCTCTGGGCGACCATGCCGCTGCTGCTGGCGCGGCACGACGAGACGACCGTCTTCCAACGCTCGATGGACCGCGATACCAGGGTGCCGATGTCGAGCTGGCCGTCGTCCGTCTGCAGCCCGCTCAGCGACGCACCCTTGACGCCCAGCTCGTAGGCGTGGGCGATGGTATCCCTGTCCATGGGAAAGGTCTGGGGTGCCAGCGACCTGAACTCTCTGGGCTGCTGCCTCCTGTTGAGCTGGTCAATCTGGGCCTTGAGGTGGGCGTTCTCCTGCTCCAGATTGCGCTGCGTCTCCTTCATCTTGAGGCCCTCCTTGTGCTTCCGTCCGACGCTGCGGGCCATCTCCAGAGCCCAGACTTCGTTCTGCCGGGCCGGCGGTAGGCTGTCCCACACGGTGTAGGCCGACTGCAGGTGCTCGTGGATCTGCTTCTCGAGGTCGTCGGCCGCCTTTTCTGCCTTGCGCAGCTGGTCTCGCTTGTCTCGGGTGATGCCGTTGGCAGCTGAGGCGCATGCGGAGTCGTCCGAGACGTCGTCGGCTGCCGACTGGCAGGTCGCCTTCCACGACTTGAATTGGTCGTCGAAGAAAGCTCGCAGGGCATCGAACTCGCGCTGGCCCGGAGATTGGACGGACCACGAGGTCGAGGTGGGGTGCTGCGTCGACGAGAAGAGTGTGGGCGGAGGCTGCAGGCACTGCAGTGTGAGGGCTGGGAAGTCGAGGGAGAGGGGGTCGAAGTCAAAGGGCATCGAGGTGGCGTCGATCCGTTGTCTAGGAGGCAGGTCACCTATCAGTCAAAGCACACAACACGCGGCACCCATGCATGGCAGGATGCAAGGTCCCACCGAGAGGAGGAGGAGGAGGAAGGGCAGAGGGAGCAGGCTGCGGACTCACTTGGCAGCATGCCAGGAGCCGAGCAGCTCGCGGAGTGCCAGCTCGGCTGCCCTGGCCGTGTCCACGGCATCGGCCAGCCGGTGCTTGGCGTCAAACTGTGCCTTGTTGATGATCTGGCGGCTCACGTTCCTGGGCCTCCTGCCAATGTCCGGCGTGGCAGCGTCGGCAAGGTCGTTGGCGGAGGCGTTGAGATCCCACCGGGGGGTACCGTAGGAGGAGGAGTACTGGCTCAGGGACGAGTCGACGGCGTACTGGCCGTCCCTGGGGAGGGGAGGGACGGCAGACGCCCTGTCACGGGAGGCGCCGTCTTTGCTGGCCGTGGAGCTCTTGGGGGTGCTGATCGGGGTCGAGACGCCACGGCGAGGACCCGTCGAGCCCCGGGGCTGGCGGCGGGTGATGTTGCCACGCATCTTGCGGATGGCGTCGACATCGTGGACGCCATCCGAAGGCTTAGGGTTCTTCTCCTTTATGTATACGTCGAGATGGCGGCCGAGGGACGACGAGGTGAAGGGCTGGCCACAAAAGGGGCAGTTCTTGTCTTTCGGAGCGCTGTACTTTGTAGTCCTGCTGTCTTCATGCTGACTGCTGTCGTCCATGGTCTCGGATTGCATCTGCACGTCTCCTGTCCTCTTCCAATCGACTGGTCGGTGGCAGGAAAACGAGCGTCGAGGATTTGGGGGGTTTGGAGATGAAGCTTCAATCTGTAGGAGGATTGGCGGTGGACGAGAGGATGCAATATGCTTCACTACCATTCAACGGCCTAGTCGTGGAGGTGACGGGTGAAGAGATGTCCCTGGGGGTGAGGGCCCATGAGGAGAATTACCTGCGGGAAGGCAGTCGAATAGTAGTAGTAATAATTTAAAATAATGTTTTTTTTTATTCTTTAGAAAAAAAGGAGGGAAAGAGGGAAACGAGTGTGAGTCTGATGTTTTTTTCTTTTTGACAAGTCTAACGAGAGAGGGCAGGCATTCAAAAGGGGCACGGGGAAGGGAAAGAAAAAAAAATTAAAGGAGAGACGTTCTGATGGAGCTTGTGGGGGAGGAAGCAAGCAGGAGAAAAAAAATAATTCTGGCCAGTGACGACTAAGAGGAAACGGGATAAATAAGGATAAAAGTAATGAAGGGGGAAAAAAGAGATGAAATGAATTAAGAGCTGAGAGGATAATTAGGGTTCGAGATGGAGAGGGAAAGCGAGAGAGGGAGAAATGCTGAAGAAGGAAGTAAGAGAGATGGGATCAATTGGCAGGATGTTCGCCTAGAGGTTTGTGTCCTCTCTCCCTCTCTCTCTATCTATCTCTCGCTCTCTTCCTAGGAGGTTTGGTGGGAGTATCAACGAGTACGCGGTGGGCTGAGAGTAGGAGTAGGTAGTGATAGCACATGTCTTGGTGGTGGAGGTCATGGTGGGAGCTACAGCGAACAGAGCATTATTACGGAGTATGTACAGATACATGTACCTACCTCACTGCCCGGCATCACAGGTAACACTCTCTACTACCAGTACAGATTATGGATACTAGAGAGTAATCTGTACCGGTGCTGCAGTCGTACTGTTGAATAGTATCATCAATTACTACCGCTCGTCGTAGTCGTGATAGGTATTCACAAACAAACAAACAAACAAACAAAAAAGAAGAAGAAAGAAGAAAGAGGCGCCAGGAGGTCACTCCAAAATCTCCTCAACTCAGAACTCAGGGGTGCAGCGAGATGCGCGAGATGGTGGGCGTTCAAGGCGTCTATGGCCTCGACGTCCCCGCCCTGAGCGTGGCAGGAGGCAGTCCTTCCCTGGCTACCTACGTAGGCGGGTATCATGTACTCGTACGTGTCAAGACAAATCCACACGAGGCCGGACAGGGACACGGCACAAGGACCTGTCCAGGCAACTTCCCTCTATCTAAGAGCAGCTCTGTATCACTGACAACTCGTAGGTCTAGCATCGTGCAATGCATGTACGGATGCCTATCCTGTAGATATATCCATCACGCCTGTGCACAGTACACACACACATCATCACCTCCCATTCCCAGTCCTACCACAACGTGACAGTACCTGTCCCCTCACCAGTACAGGCAGAAGCCTCACAGGCTACAGCGTGCCTCTCGCAGCGTGCCTCTACAGGGGATCGGCCGGGCTACAGGGGATCGCTACAGGGGATGTTCCACGCTGGACCTGGAGACCGTCCGGACTGCCCCCAACTTTGACTGCAGGCGCCCCTGAGTGCCGGCTGATGAGTGTTATTATCTATTACTATATGATATGACTTGTAGAGGCAGACGGTGATGGGTATGTTTGGAATACATATAGCTCCCCCTGCTCTATCGTATAGAATCATGCATCTTCTGTTCGGCTACGGATATCAGGACAGCCCACGGGAGTGCATGATCCGTACATGGATACGGATAGAGCGCCTACTCCCTACTCCCTACAGCCTTTGCCCGGCAAACCCTAGCGGTTGAGAATGTGGTCATCAATGATAGTACCACGGAGTACCTCCTGGATGGACATCTCGCCAGACATGTTCGTATGCAGACAGCATGGGTCGGACCAACACTTACGACGAATGCGACCCGACGGAGAAGATACTGACTGCGACAGAGTACGAATGATTACAACCGTTGCCATATTCAGCCCGACAAGAGGTCTGGAGCCGAGCATTGCGAGTACGAGTACAAGCATGCTTAGTGCCAGTATTGTCTGAGAGCACAGTACTTACTACCTGCAACATCTTTCTTCCGTCCTCCTTCCTGCTGCTCCTTACGACTACAGCTGCGAATGCAAGGGCCGGCCGGTGCACGCCTTGGCCCTGTCGGGAAGGGAAGCTGATGATGCGCCGTTGTGGATCGCCCTACATACGTGTAGTGATAATTGTTATGTATGCTCGTAGGTAGCTGCATGCAGTGAGCCCGGCCTTATGTAACTCTCCCCTTTTTTTTTCTCTCCCCCTCCTATCTACCCTCTCTTTCTCTCTCTCCCCCACACACCCTCTCTCTCTCCCTCTCTCTCTCTCTCTCTATCTCTCTAGCTCTCACTCACTCACTCT